CCCGGGTTCGAGCCGCTCGTCTTCCGTATTTCTGTATTTTCCCCAGGCAGCCTCTATATGGCCTCAGCCGCCTTCGTGAAAGTGGACTGTATATTTGTATGTTCAATAAGTGAAAAAGGAAATAAAAAGACATTTAGATTTTTTTAAGGGCGACGTGGAAAAAGGAACTGAACTGAATGGTATATATGGCTGTTTCATGAGTAGTAATGGAAGATTTTATTCAGTTTCAAAGGGGAAATTCGTCGTGTCTAGATCAAATGAAGCGTGAACTGAAAAGATAGGAAGCACTGATGAGATCCAACCAGTTCGAGACAGTTGTCCAGTGCTTCCTAGCTTTTCAGTTCACGCTTCATTTGCCATATACGCGCGACGAATTTCCCCTTAGAAATATACGACTGGGGTTCACAAAACCAGCTTTTTTCCGTTGCTGTCCCCCGCCCCCCTTACGTCCTCTTCCTGATCCTCTCCTCTCAGCAAGTGAATGCCTTCTCTGATTGAAACAAAGATTCTTGAATACTGTAGCACAAATTTTGTGATGAGATTGCAAGCTTGGCATTGATAGATGTCCATCTTATTGCCACATGGTTACCTCATTCATTTATCCTAATTTGATTTGGATCGCTTCTTATTTCAATGGTAAAGGTGTGCGCTTACTTTTATTGTTTATTTTCATCCCACTAAACAGGTCTGCTGTTCCGATACATTATCTGTCTACTTCATCTTCGGACGACGTCCCTACTCCCTCCTTATTCAAACCCTCAGTCGACTGGTCCACTGAAACCTGCAAAGTAATTGCAATTGTTACCGATGATACAGATGTGTTTGGTCCCTCCTGGTCCACTATTTTACGGTTAGCACATGGTTCAAAAATTATCCCTGGAACCATGGATCCACAACCCGAGTCTATCTACGAGTGCCATCCAATCCCCACATTCTCGGTGCAAGACTCAGTTGCCCAGCTGTCCACCGTGATCCGTTCGCAATTTAGTCCCCAGCGATCGTCGGCGAGATTGGTTCTTGTTGATCGCAGTAAAGTACGTCCAATTTGTAATGCATTCAAATCCTGGTATATCTACCTACCTGGATTTTTCTTAGTTTTTGGTGATCGGATTGCTTAACACATAGACAAGGATAACCGTAGTTTTTTCTCCATGTCCAATACAATGCTTCAGTTCAGCTAGTTGAGTAAATGGAACTAACTTTAACGATGCTGTTCGCCTCCAGGAGTCCGGTTCGATCTCTAGGGGCCAGAGATGGGCAACAAACGCCTATGGTAATGGTAGAATAGCTTTTAATGAATTATCACAGAACGGTGATTATTGTTTCCTTGCGGATCACCTCAGGTTTATAAGGTAATGAATTGCAAACAATCGTAGCAGTACTAGTCACCCCACATGGGCCCGTGAAACGTACGAAGTAGCACACAAACCGGTATAAATATTTCACCCACTTGCCTCAGTGAAGCAAATGAATTTCCAAACTCAATCTACTATACTGAATGGACCACGTTGACCAGCTTTCACTTCCAATCATCTTATTGTTCCAGTCTATCAGTTTTCGCATTACTTGACGCGAATCACTTACTGTTGCATTGGAAATTGTAACCGACACTGACCGATTTGCCTAAATAGGGAAGATCAATGAAAACTGGTTGGGGCATCTGGATATACTCCGTTGGGGCACTGTCGTCAATTAACATGTGGTGGAAATGTTTGTGATAACCAACGAAGATCACCGGACAGGTGTTTCGTCCTGTTTGCGACTCGTCAGCAGTGCGTACTTTTTTGTGTCCCTTTCAGTACTCGAACCGCTAACTTTCGGGTTGGGACTTCAAACCCTTACTCCTGAGCTACACGGTCGATGGTTATCACCTTGTGCGAATGGCTCAATCACTTTAGAATATCAGGCTTGGAACAGCCCATTCGATTGTTCAGAGGCACCAGGCACTCTTGATGAGTACGCACTGCCGACGAGTCACAAACAGGACGAAACAGTTAATCAGTGCTTTTTGTCGGTTATCACAAACGTTTCCCTCGCATTTGAATGCATTACCTCGTGGGGAATTAACGATCTCCCAAGGAGTAAAACAAACATCTAAGACAATCCAGGATGCCTGGTGCCTCTTACCAATCGAATGGGTTAATTCAAGCTTGCTATCTTTAAACTGTCGTCAATTGCTTGAATTCGATGTCCGAATTGTGCACGTTCGATCACTGATATGTTTGTTTGCACAAGTTTATGATTTTACGGTATGTTGAGTTTCTATTGTTTCGAAACTGATGCGTTGACTGGCATGAAGCATACCACAATTTTGCATCACACAAACTTTCTTGCATGATGTACCGGATATCTGTTAGATCTGTTCATTTACACATGACTAGGAAGTTTGTTTACTCCCCCGTAGCATCTGTGATTCTATCTCAGTGGTGATTCAAACCATGTTTTGTCAACAACAACAAAATAACCGCAGCTTTTTGTACCCTTGCTTGTTCCAGCTGACAGAGCGCATTTTATCTGCGTTACAATCGTTACCTGTCCGATTGGTCACTTGTGATTACTTCATCCAATCGTTGATATGTGGTCGGTTGTTGGATCCGGATGCTTCACCCCATTTCATTCCAACATTGGTCCAGAAGAGCGTGTAAATACGGCAACGAAAGAACAAGTTCACAATACTATATTACTAAAGATGGATGTCCTACATTTTCTCTGATCCTCTTTGGTCAACCCTCCGATTATTTTTTCAGAAGCCAGCAGTTGTTTTGTATACACGCTTGATTGTCTGTGTGTACTTCCTGCAGACATTCTAGCACTCCTGTATGCCCCTACAGAAGCGCAAATGCCTTTCCAAAGATAATAATTGTTTGTTTTTACCGTTATTTTTCTCTAAAAGCAACGATTATTGTGAGATGTGAATTAACTTTAGTCACAGTTCAAAAGTTGTAAAAAATCAAGTCTCTGAGCCATTATGAATAGATGACAACAGTCAACATTCCGAACTATTGGCGATTATTGGTCGCGTTTGGATATTCCGTTGCCAGATTAAAGTTAGTGGTCAAATTGGTCTTTGACGACATGTGCGTATGAACGGCTTCTGATGCAATAAAGTACAGACCCCCCAAAAACCGTGCAATCCCCGGGGGACGAATTATTACCGATAAGTTCATCACGTTCCATAGTCGTTTGCACGGTGGCAACGCTACATCGCGCGAAGTGTCAACCACCACCATTTGGAAGCCAGTTAACTTTCATTTAGATGACTTGCTTTACTGCCCTTCATACTAAAGTTGATTAGTCGCATTTCTGCCAGGAACTTGAGTATAACCGCTGTAGTTATGCAGTGTGCACATGTTGATAGACTGACTTTCTACCTCCCGGAAGCTATTGACTTCCCATAAAATTCATTTTTGGGAGAACCCGGCTCGTTGGAAGGAAGGAATTCGGGTATTAAGCCCTGGGTAGCATCCTCGGTATCTCGAGGATGCTCTCTAGCCCTTCGTGGTCAATTTCTTCCTGATGAGGAAATCGATTGTGGAAGGCAATCTTCACACATCCCGATGTGTTGTACCTGTCTCGCAGGCCAAAAGCTCAACACAGGCTTTGCTTATCGTCCTTACCTGTTTATCCATCGAAACGGTATCCATATATTCACGTTTGGTCTCTTTACCTACACCGTCCCCCTTTGG